AATAATATTTATCTATAATTATCTGGGATTATTAGAAAAAAAATTTACACTTGAAACTCAATAGAAATGAATACCATCTAAATAGACGGAATTTAGAAAAAGTCCATTATTTCATCTCTACGTAGAAGAGTTCGTTGTTCTTTTCAATAGTTTTTTTCTTCTGAGTCGACTGATTTCTGGTGGTTCATGCTATTGTGGGATAATTGATTACATGATCTGGTTTCGTTTATGGAACCGTAGCACTTCAGACGCTGGTGATGAATACAGCGGCGTTTTACGGGTTTAGAAGAAGGGAGTTATTGATGCGGTTGACTGTCACACCTGAACCACGAGTCAATAAAGCTGCAGCTTGAGCTTTAGCAATTCTTGGTGTGTTTCTTTGTGATATATCTTACAGTTACGGTTCGATACTCTTAACTAGGTTTTACATACAATATTTTTCTTCTGATGACAGGAGAAAATTATATTCCGCGACGTTCCATAAAAGGCAGGCAAGTACCAAAACAAGGATTGTGAATACTCACCATGGATGGAGGCGGACTGAAAGGTCTTGCTACGGTGTAAATTCTAAAAGAGATTGAGCAGGGAAGTGCACAAACTATATGTGCAGCTAGATTTCTGTTTTTTTTTTTTCCTTTTAGGATCAAATGATGCAGCATTGCTGCTGTGCATTGGGATGTTGATTGCGATAATGTCATCATTTGTAGCAAACCAAACAAGAGTACACAAGGTGAAGCTCACTAATGCCTTTTTAAACAGAGCACAGCCTGAATTGCTTATTATAAGTTCAACAGTCTTTTGGAAGTATAACTGTTTAGAGAAAACAAGAAATTAGTCTTATGCATGTAATTACATCCTAGTGGTATATACCCTTCATATACCCCAACTTATGCTTGCTCCTGATACTTAGTAATCTCAATACTTTGTGCTGTAACCTCAGTCATATACTTACGTACAACGCTCATCTTTTCTTTCCTCTTCTCCAGCCTCCAGTTATATGCATCTTTATTTGACCACAAAGGACTATGAATTTTTCATATTTAGAGTATGAATTTTGGAATATCCCAATACAAACGAGTAAAGGCTTTGGTTTTTCTTTTTCATTTTTGAAAGTATATATTTCAAGTTTTTGGTAATCTTGAGTTTTGTTTTTTTTTTAATAAAAAATGGATGAAATTTATAAACGTGTTAAATAAAATTTATAAACTATGTATGCTTAATTTAAAAAAAAAATATTATTTTCATTACTTCAAATAAAATTTGTACACCAAATGTTGCAAAAATAAATTGAATATTAAAGAATGACAAAGTAATAATATATCAAAAAATGTTAAAACAGTTTGCAATAGTATTGTCGAACAAGACACATAGACAACAAAATTATACAATCTTACAGTAAATAACATCCAAATTTAGATAATATATTTAACAATTTTTGTTATATAAACTCAATTGTCTACAACTAAATATATGTCAAAACTTGTGCGGGCGCGCGGGTCAAAACTCTAGTTGTAATTTATAAGAGATTACAGAAGTAAATGTTCTCCTTGGGTGAATGGTCAAAATGGTTTCCTTGGCTTTGAACAGAATAAGATAATTTATAACTATAGTATATAATATATTAATAAAAAAATATTATATAAATTAAATATAAGTAAATCATATTAAATTGATTGATTAGCCTAGTTTGTTTTTACGAAGTATTTTCATTTTAAATAAATACAAAAAAATATCATTTACTATTAAAATGGGTTGAATTTCATAAACTATGTACTTCTTATATAAAAACAAAATTGTGAACATATATTAAAGTTTAATATTTACAAATATATATTATTTTTAAAGATTGTTAACATATCTTAATACCATAGCGTCCAAAAATATTCTAATCTTAATACCATAGCGTCCAAAAATATTCTATATCGATAAAAATTTAGTAAATAATATATGCTCATAATTAATTTATCTTTTTCTAATTTCTATGATACACATTTATTATTATAATTTACAATATTTTCAGAATAAATATTCTATATATCTTAAAAAAAAATCTCTTTGTTCAAACTTTATTTTGACCAAGAAAAAAAAATCTAAACTTAATATATACTAACTACAAGTACAAAAATCTTGGAGTGTTTTTAAATTAATAAAACTAAACAATATATTTACTTAAAAATCTCATAATAAAAAAAATATAGATGGTAAATTAAATGTGCATTTAATTATTAATGATTTAAGTTATATTTAATTATAAATTAAAAATGTGCATTTAAGTTATGTCCAAAAGTAGGATTATGTTTTAATAATACTGATTATTATTTTGGAACCATTTTAACAGATGTTGCATAACATATCTCTTAAATATTAATATTGGTATCATATCAGCTATCATTTATTAACTTACCAAGATTAATGCATTAGATCTATATAAATATTACAAAGAATAACCTCTAAAATAAATAAGGCTTGGTCTGAATATTAATTTCTTCCTAAACCTTGAAAACTATGGCTAAAACTTCTGTCGGTGTTATTTTTCTGGTCGTCCTTCTTATTGCAGTTCGTAAGTATCTTATGTTCGTTAAAAATGATCTTATGTAATTTCAATAAGATGTTATAACTAAGGATGGGTACGGATCGAATATCCATATTTTTGGAGATATTCGTGATCTGATTCGCTTCGTCCAAAAAATTAGTTATCTGATTCGATTTGCTCCGTAACTATCTATATATTTGGTGTCTCATATATCCAGAAAATTTAAGATTTTAACTCGAAATATCCGATTGGATCTGTACGAGTATAATAAATGATTTTTAAAATTTAAAAAAATCCTAAAACAATAGTAAAAAATAATAATAGTTTATTACAAACATAAAATTTTGTTTAGTTTTCAAAATCCTAATAAATAATATAATCAATTTAATAAAAAAAACTGTGAAACTAAAAAAATATAATATTAATACAACTTATATATATATATATAACTCTTTAAATATATGTATATATATGCATATAACAGATCGGATATCCGTTTCTAAGAATATTACTATTTGTGATTTGCTTTCTTTCTTACATATAGTACACTTTAGTATTTGTTTTTCTTCATAGAATTATAGAAATCTGATCTTTTTTTTGTTCGAATCAAAACGGATAACGAACGAAATCAAAATTTACAGATATTTTGTCCACTCCGGGTTGTAACAATGCCTTTTTAAAAATGTGCATGAGCCTAACTAAATATGATATCTTTATGTTTTTTTTTAGAACGGGCTGTCTTTATGTATATGTTACATTAATTTCCTTTTTTTTACTATAGATGTCTCAATATCCGATGCAAGAGAGAATAATTTGCAAGAGCATATACATGCGGGTGAGCCGCGAATTAAATGTACATGTACCAATCCGTTTGACAACTGTTGCGTGGACGATTCTGATTGCCTGAAAAAATGTATCGCTCCCTGCAAAATAAAAAAATGCACACCGGCGCACACATGTGACTGTGAATTATAAACAATTATATGAGTGCAGTTTATTTAAAGATTAAAAGTGTCATGGACCTAGAAGTTACATAAATAAAAAAATATATTTTATTTTCTGTTATTCTAGTTAAAGTTTCTAATGAGTTCGGCATATTCAGAATAATTATATGATTTCTAAAAGTAAACGCGGGTTTTTAGCTGTGGACTTAATTATATGATTAGTTTTATTTTTCTCTTAAGTGACAATAATTTGTGTATAGACAGACTACACAATAAGAGCATCTCTAATGTATGCTGCACTTTCTATCTCTAAAATAGAGGAAGACTATAATAGAAATGAAGTTTGCTTCAACGTATTTTTCTAATATAAAAATCACTAAATATTGAAGAAAAAATAGAAGACTGCTATTTCTTCCTTTATAAATAGAGGAAAATATAACAATCTCTATTATAGAAAAAGAAATAGAGCTGAACTGGAGAAATTTAACCTTCACATATTATTGTAGAGGTGAAAATAACAATAGATTGGAGATGCTCTAAGAGATTATGCAACATAAGTATACAATTATAAATGTAAATTTTAGNGAAGAAAAAATAGAAGACTGCTATTTCTTCCTTTATAAATAGAGGAAAATATAACAATCTCTATTATAGAAAAAGAAATAGAGCTGAACTGGAGAAATTTAACCTTCACATATTATTGTAGAGGTGAAAATAACAATAGATTGGAGATGCTCTAAGAGATTATGCAACATAAGTATACAATTATAAATGTAAATTTTAGGGTAGGCCAAAAAATTGTGAACCGATCCGACCTATTCTTTCAAAGTCCGAAAGACTAGTCTGAAAATTCACTAATATACAACAGCAAACCAGAACTAACCCATTAATCTTACAAAGACGATTTATGCTTCTAAACAGTCCATTTAGAGGGAGCTTAACACCATAAAATGTCAAAAAGCCCCAAAGACTCGATAAAAGTTTAGAATTTAAAAACAAACTGAAAATGTATATAACCAAAACCATGGAAGCCCTATAACCTAGTGGTCAAAGTCTTACTTAAAGGTTCTACACTAAGTTTGAGTTTCGATTCTCACAGACAATATATTATGCAAAACTTTTTGTAGATTTTAGAGTGATATCAGTAGAGTATATCGTTGTGGTCATCTGCGACAAAGAGATTATGTCCGTTGAAAATGTATATACATAACCATCCGCTGACCTGAATGTTACATGAAGAGCTACGATGTGAAATCATTATATATAGCAAGTAATTGATTATCACTTTGCAATGAAAATATATATTATATAATGATATAATAATAATTTGAATCGTGTTAAGAAAGTATAAAAAATCCTAAAAAATAAGTATGCTATGGTTATAATAATTGGTATTAACCGGTGCAAGTACAAAGACCATCAAAACATATTAAGATCTTGAGACACAATTAAAAGTCATATGAGGATAACAATCTTTCGTCAACTTACATGTCTTGGAATTATTCTTCTTCATTTTTATATCTTCAAGTCTTGCCTGAAGAGCTGATGAAATGGTACACTGGCATTGTCTGTTTGCATATAGGTGTCCCACTCAAGCAGTTAAGGTATTCACAATCTTTATTTATTTTGCAAGGTAGAAAAATATGAGCTCCCGCCTTCGGAATAGTCACCTTCATCGAGCCTAATGAAGCACATCGGTCACGGAGAAAAAAAAGTTATAACCAAATTTCAAATCCAACAGGTAAGTTATGTAAGACAATATGGTTAGCTAGATTTAGAGAGACTTACAAGCGATAACGAAAGCAAGAAGACATAGGAATGTGATCTTTGAGACCATTTCTTAATTATGTTAAGTGTATCTTTGAGGCCATTTCTTAATTATGTTAAGTGTTTAAGGAATGTGATCTTTGTGCTTAGCCAGTTGTTTAGTAGCAACGTTTACATCATATTTACAAAACTTCACATTAGTTGTTTGTACTCTTTATGTCAGAAAGTAATATTATCATTGAGTTCATAGCAGTAATATATGTATGTTTAATATAAACTTATTACTAGATTACTACATTTTTCTCTGTTCGTATTAAAATGATCTATCAAATCTTTTTTGTTTTTTTTCTTAAACCTACCAAATCCCCCTATCAAAATCTCCATGAAAGTCCTTAATTCAGCTAAACTCAACCAAGTTCCACCAAATCTTAAATCTTCAGAATTTCTTTAAACCTCTAATTCAATAAACCCCCCGGCCCCCTAAATGTTCTCATCGGGTGAATGGTCAAAATGGTTTGGTTGGCTTTAAACAGAATAGGATTTGATTTATGGTCATGCTAGATAATGATCAAAAGAATATTATATTTTTAGGTAAGTATGGTTTAAACATTCTATGGTGGTGGTGACAAGTTTTTCTAAATTTTTCCTGTTATCGTCCTAAAATGGTGCAATTTGATGCAAGTGACAATGACTTCACGGTGAAGACGTAATTGATGCCGGTGGTGAAAAATACTACCAATAAAAAAATATTAATATTTGGGTTTATACTTTAGTAATCATTGTTTAGGTTTTAGTATTAAGGAATCGGAATTAGGTTTATAATTTTATAAATGTTCTATAAATATTTAAAAAANGTCCTAAAATGGTGCAATTTGATGCAAGTGACAATGACTTCACGGTGAAGACGTAATTGATGCCGGTGGTGAAAAATACTACCAATAAAAAAATATTAATATTTGGGTTTATACTTTAGTAATCATTGTTTAGGTTTTAGTATTAAGGAATCGGAATTAGGTTTATAATTTTATAAATGTTCTATAAATATTTAAAAAATTAGCTTAGTGTTATTTTATCACATATATAGGATATTTGTGAAAATAGTTATTCATTAAAAATAAATTTGAATAGTGGTACCAAATTTGTGGTAGAATTGAAATTTTCCCTAAAATGAAAGTAGTTATCTCTACTTAGTACATACAATCTTTTTTTTAACCACTTAGTACATACAATCATTTTATCAATTTCCTTTATGTTGGACAACATGAGATCAGATGTAAATGAAGTTTTTCGTTTAATAATTTCTTGACCAAAATTTACAATCTTAAATTTTTTTTGCAAAGATTACAGATTTGCGATTAATACACGATTAATAAAATCATTTTCAACAAAGATTTCAGATTTGCTTTTAATTTAAAGGTCTAAAAAATTAGTATGAAACAGATTAAAAATTATACTAATTTAATTTGAAAATCACTTTGTTGGGGTCAAAATCGGTACGACGGAATCAACGGCCAAAACTCCCCGCAGAAATATAAAAAGAAATCGTTTTATAAAACTCAAAAACCCGTTTTATAAAACTCGAGGAATCGTTTTATAAAACTCAAAGAATAGTTTTATAAAACTCGAGAATCGTTTTATAAAACTCGAAGGATCGTTTTATAAAACTCGAAGAATCGTTTTATAAAACTCGAAGAATCGTTTTATAGAACTCGAGAATCGTTTTATAAAACTCGAAGGATCGTTTTATAAGACTCGAAGAATCGTTTTATAAAACCCGAGAATCGTTTTCTAAAACTCGAGAATCGTTTTATAAAGCTCGAGGATCATTTTATAAAACTCGAAGAGTCGTTTTATAAAACTCAAGAATCGTTTTATAAAACTCGAAGAATCGTTTTATAAAACTCGAAGAATCGTTTTATAAAACTCGAAGAATCGTTTTAAAAGGTCTTATCAAATCTAGTATCCATATATAATCTCCAATCCATAAGTAAAAGGAAATAGCTTTATAATGTCAGCAAAAGAAAACTCCTTTATAATGTTCTTCAAACATGTGATCTAATTACAAATCTCTTGTTTCATCAATCAACTATGTACAGTGAAACCTCTATAAAATAATAATGTTAAGACACACCAAAATTTTATTTTTTATTAATTTAGAGAGATATTAATTTATAGATATACTAATCGAACCAAAAACTCAATTTGAGACTATAAAATTATATTATTTTATAGAGATATTTAGTATATATTAATTTATCGAGTATTAATTTATAGAAGTTCTACGGTAGATGTTCTTTTGTAACTATGTGGTTATAGATGTCATTAGGCAGGTAGAAATCCGTCTCCAACACAAATTTAATTTTTGGATGTTAGATGTTATCCTGCACCATATGCAGAATAAAATTTCTAATTTAAATAATATTAAAATATATTTTTTAATATTTTAATTTCTTTTATTTATATTAATATTTTCATATAAATTTAATTTAATTAAACATAAATTGAGATAAATTAAACAATTTAATTTATTTTACATTATATTTAATAATATATATGCATATATGTAAAATTATATTTGTAGATAGATTTTCATTTATTTCATTTGGCTAGATATTTTAAATTAACTTGTATAAGATTAGAAAAATGATATAAAATTATATAATTACAAAAAAAAACTAAATAGAATTTCTAAAATTTGTAGATATCAAACAAAATAAATGGTGTTGATTAAAATTTAAAATTTATCAAAAGTATACATAAATTTTTAAATCTTATTTAGTGATAATATTTTTATAGTAATAAAAATATACTAAAAAATATTTCAGTATATTTATTATAATGATGAATATAAGTTATTACCATATTTTAAAAAATTTTAACAAAAATAGAAATCAACATGATATCACTCAAATTACCCTAGGAGTTAGTTACTCTCATCAAAAGAGGTTCACTTGTAGTACTTAGGGATCGAATCCATAGAGACTCTAGGATTACACAACAGATTATTTAGTTTTCGAAGTAAAGCTAGATAGCAAGTTTTAAACAATAACTTAAAAGGTAACAAAGCAATTTGCTTGATTGATTGATTTGTTTGTTAAGAGGAAAGAAGTTAGTTAAACTTAGGTATTTTCTCAGGTATGACAAGCATGCAAGTTATAAAGGGTTTTTATTATTCATAGTTCTGGATTCAAACTCTTAAGGAATAAAGGTATTAACTCTTACTGGATCTCGGGTCAAGAACTATCGTCCGATGACCTTGAGTAAATATCGATCGATAGAAATATCGATCGATCATTGTTATGCTATATCGGTCGATAGGACGGTTATCTCGTCGATCAATATTGCACCAGCGAGTTCTAAAGATTGGTTTGAAAAGGGTTCTCTAGTCTTCCATAAACAACTTAGAACCTAGGTAATTACTAAGTTCTCACTTATCCAAATTATTCCTAAAATCAGAGGTAAGGGTGATCAATCCTTAACATTAGTATTCATGATAACTAGATTTAGAACTATATTTTAAATACCCTAATGATGGTTACTTCAATGCATGAGTCAACCCTAATGAGAAACCTAAATCTAACAAGAGAGACTACTCAAACATATTTATGAGAGACAAAGTCATAATGGTTTGAATAATGCTTTAAGATAATAATAATAATAATAATAATAATAATAATAATAATAATAATAATAATAATAATAATAATAAGAGAAACAATAAATAAATCAAAGGGAGTTCAAGATCTTCTCTGGATTGTAGTTCAGATCTCTCTCTCTCTCTCAATTCTTAAGCTCTTCTTCAAAAGTATGGCTAGATGCTTCCCTAAAATTAGGTCTAAAAGATCTCTGGAGAAGTCTGCTTAATCTAGTACAAAACCATCTTAAAATAGCCTAACAGGCGGCCATGGACTTAAGGTGTAAATTATCAAAATTCTTGTGAAGTAATCAGGGCTTCTAATCTTCATTTAATTGCTTTGGAGGACTTATGTATCGATCGATATAGAATGTCTTCTATTGATCGATTTGGATGATCTTTCATCGGTCGATTGCTCTTACTGCGCATCGGTCGATGTCTTCAACACGTTTTGCTCATATCTTCATAAAGTCTCCATTTAGCTCCAAAATGGCTATTTTAAACCAGTGAGTACCTGAACCTGTAAAAGCTCTAAAAAGACACTAAAAGTATCCTTTTGTTTCCAAAAACATATATAAATCATGGTTAAAAGTGGGTAAAATCCATGATATATCACAACAATAAATGTAATTGTCTATGTCACATTTTGTCTTATGCCATGTCATCTTTTCTAGTATACTATGTCATCTTTTTTTAGTGAAATTGATTGCGGTGATAACACATGGAAAAATTATTTCTCAAATAATGTATAAAAGATATGCCTATTTTAAAGTGAATTTAATATATGCATTGTACAGTGAATTTAATCTGATACCCATTCTAAGTTAGATATGTTCCAAGTAGCAAAAAAATCAACATAACTTAATTATAATTTATTTTAGCTAAAAAATATAAAGCCTTTATCTTTATCTATGAGTGTGATTACCAGATATTAGAGTAAGTGAGAGAAATTAAGATTGGAGGAAATAAGAAGAAAAATGTAAGTAAATACATAAAAGAAAAAAAAAATCTAGCATATCATTTTTCTCTTCACAAATCAAGAAGGAAAAATACACATTATTTTACTCTTTTCTAAATATTCACCAGAGTAAAAAATTTCAAAACATATTCTACCTGATTCGTATAAAAGTAGTTGAAAGAAAAGTAAAAAAATTTCCACCTAAAATATATCTCTAATAGTTCCATGGAAAATTGTCTAAACTAGCATTTTAGTTATACCGTTTTTAATTTTTACCTTAATTATATATATATTTGGTTGTAAGAAAGTAAATATACACTTATAACCCTAAAGTTAATTAATATAGACTTAGGGTTTAAATTTGAAGAGTGGGATTTTGGGGGATAAAAGTTAGAATTTTAATAAAAATATAAATAATACTTAAAAAATAAATTAAAAAATAGAAATAGTTTCATAAAGTATTTTAAAATTTGAATAG